TGAGAGAGAGAGTAGAGAATGAAAAAAAGGAAGAAAAATGTAAACCAGGATACGGTCTCAAGTTTTGGGTTTTGAATTTCCCGCGCAAACGTATCTGATAATGTTATCTCTTCTCCAACTCTACCCGTGAAAAAGAGAACTTACGTATTGTATTATAATTTTCAATAAAGGTACTTGAAAGAGAGATAGAGAATGAAAAAAAGGAAAGAAAAATGTAAACCAGGATGCGGTCTCAAGTTTTGGGGATTTTGAATTTCCCGCGCAAACGTACTGATAATGTTTATCTCTTCCTACAACTCTACCCGTGAAAAAGAGACTTACGCATTGTATTAAATACTTCTAATAAAGGTACTTGAGAGAGAGATAGAGAATGAAAAAAGGAAAGAAAATGTAAACCAGGATGCGGTGTCAAGTTTTGGGGATTTTGAATTTCCCGCGCAAACGTGTCTGATAATGTTTATCTCTTTCTGCAAAGCTACCGGTGAAAAGAGAACTTACGTTATTGTATTAATATTGCTACATGTGCTACTCTTTTAACCACTACTTTTGACAGTTTTATTACTGCATTTATCTTATATGTATTTAGAGGATAATAATAGTGTTACTAATAAATTTTTCTAGACAAGAAATTTTAGTCGTGAATGCTAGACATCTCAATATTGTCATACTATACCAATATAGTGTTTGGATATTAGCTAAAATACATACCAATTTTTATTATTCACTTAGTTAATCTTGCAATGTGATCCTTACCAAGATGTTATATTACTTTTTACAGATTTATGTCTTCTTTCGCCCTTTTTCAGACAATCTTAAACTAAAATACTGTACTGTATATTGTCATATGGGTTAGAAAATCTGTGAAATCTCTATGCTAACAGTAATTATCATATTGTGTAAGATTTTACATACACACAATCAGAGACCCACATGCAGAAAACACTTTCATATATGTATGTGTATGTGTTTTTGTTTTGGTTGCGTGTATGTGTGTGAATGTATTTTACACATGTTTGTATTATGAATGCCTTTACTTGTCCATTCATGAATAAAAGCATTGATATTAAGCAACATTAGATCAATTCGACAAGTAAGGATCCAAAATAAAAAACTATTTTCTTTCGAAAGTCTATTCATTAAACATAAAAAACAATAAGAAGTAAAACAAATAAAAAAATTACATATAATGGTACAAATAATATCATATATCATATAATATTATTCACATTCTTAAGACTAATGTTGTATCATACAATACAACCCTGGGAATCCTTCATATGTGGATATACATAGTCGAGAATAACACATCAGTAAATATAGTGAGAAACAAGGAGAGAGAAGAGAGAGAGAGAGAGAGAGAGAGAGAGAGAGAAGAGAGAGAGAGAGAGAGAGAGAGAGAGAGAGAGAGAGAGAGAGAGAGAGAGAGAGAGAGAGAAACGGAGAACGAGAGAAAGAGAGAGAGAGGGAGGGGGGGGGGGGTTGCATTGACAGATAGATAGAGAGAGAGAGAGGGAGGAATGAAAAGAGAGAGAGTGGGGACGTATATAGATAGATAGATAAAGAGAGAGGGGAGGTATATAGATAGATAGATAAAGAGAGAGGGGAGGTATATAGATAGATAGATAAAGAGAAATGGGAGGTATATAGATAGATAGATAATGAGAGAGGGGAGGTATATAGATAGATAGATAAAGAGAGAGAGAGAGAGAGTAGATAGAGAAAATAGATAGCAAGATAGGAGGAGGGGTAGACTGATAGTGGGAGAGGGGTGGATAGAGAGATAAGATAGAGAGAATCTGCTAAATATATATCTATCTAATGTAATATATACATGATGACTTTACTTTCAGACTTTACTAATACTATAGTACATCCAGTGTCATAAAAGGAGAAAGTGGCAACTCGAACTCGACTCCGGAGAACTTCGATTCACCAAAGAAATAAAAGAATAATAATAAAAATGGTGGTGTAAACCAATTGAGAAATATTGTATATAGATTTACAACATTCTAGATATATGTAAGCGAAAGTATGAAGTATCAGCTGATCAAAATAATACAAAAGAGAAGTCGAATCGGAGTCTTTCAGAGTCCGGAGTTGAGTTGCCAAATATATGTTTTTCACATGATTGTACGCGCTGTAGTAATAATGACTAGTAACTATAAGAAAACAGGGAGGATGTATGAAACTAAGAAAAAAAAAAGAAAAGAAATCACGTTATTTTTCTATTTTTATTTTGTATCTCTACATTTGGGACAAGGATATAAAAAAAGGAAGTTGAAATAATGGCCGATTCACAGACGACGGTTTTATCTCGTAAAATCCTAAAAATGCATATTGCTATATTTTACATTTTAGTGCTCTTGGCAGTGAATGGATTATTTTGTTATATCTTCGTATTGGAAACTGAAATGTCAAGATAATATGAAATTAGCAGGACTAAAAGAGTGAGATGAATACTTATTTACCGACACTGCACAGCCTAAAATTATGCTCTCATGTCTAATTCTTCCTCCATAAATTTCAATACTTCTTGTCAGTTACAAATCTAAATTTAGGGGAAATACGCTATAACTCACCGTAATCTATACAGATAAGGAATGAAATACGTTTTTTAGTGAAAATTACGACCCAAAAAGCTTATCGAAAACGTATGATACTCGTTATGTTGTTTCCGTTGAAATTCGTAACAGACACAAAAATATTTACGAGAAGTCCAGAAAGATAATATAACCTTACTTATTGTGTCTCAACTGAAAAATATACAAAACACAAAGAAAATTGTCTACTCAAAAAAAAAAAAAAAAAAAAAAAAAAAAAAAAAAAAAAAAAAAACGAATTACAATATAAAAATTCACTAAAATGCAAATACACTTGATAAGTATTTCAGAATTGAAAACTACGAAAACAGAATAAAGTTTACCCAATAAATCTATCAATAAAATGCATACAAATACACTTAATAAGTATTTGCGCTTGATGAAAAAAGGCAAAAATTTAGTGTGAAATCGACCTTAAGTTGTGAAGAACTTAGCTAACGTTCGGTAAGTTATGGAATGTATGTCTTGTTAACATAAAACAAGCAGTAAAAAAGAAAAGAAAAAAACAAAAAAATATTGAGCAATCTGTTGTTAGGGTCTGTGGTTAACTTATTTACATATCATGAAACAAACTAATAATATGGATACAGATCTTCATTTTTATTTTTTTTTGTAATCTTTAGTTGAATGTATTTTTAATAGCCATTTTTGGCGTCTATTAGTAAAAGTGATTTTAAATACTACATTTCCATTTAACCGTAAAGGAATGATCGCGAACATGCCACGTGTACACAACCGAAGTAACTTAACGGTAATATATTGTTCGCAAACAACACAAGAAGGCAAGAACCAGCTTTTTCTTTTTTTTTCTTATTTTATCTTATTATTATTATGTTTTAACTTCCTTCAACTTTAAACATTTTCTTCTTCTTCCTCCA